TTCAAGATTACTTGTCTATGATACACAACTGTGTTGCTTGAAATTTTTTGGTAGTATCTAATATTTGCCCCTTATTCATAATTAAATAAATAATTAAAATATTATACTAAAAGATAGAACTCATATTGCACAGAAAAACATTGAACTAGTTGGGACCTACATAACTGTGAGCCAAAAAGATTTTGTCGGACACTTGATTTTCCAATTTTACTTAGCACACTACTTTAAAATTTTCTATAGGAATAGTTTGTCATATGCAATTAACTATAACCCTATAAAGAAACAAATTGTAAAGAAAACTGGACTTGAATGAGCCTAAGTATTCTGATGTTTAGTCTGTAATCCCAGAGTAATACTTTAAACTATTGAAATAATGTTTTTTAAAAAAACATATTGTAACTGAATTAGTGGAGACAAGAACCATTTCATTCTTTGAAGAGCAAAATATTAGTATATGTGCTGAAGAAAACATTTTAACTGATTTTTCTCCTTCAGAAAAATAAATTCTCTTTGAATTAGGCTCAGCTCTTCTGTATAGACACTTATTGGAAATAATGACTGTCAACACTATTTATCAGCCACTGATGTATCTTCTACTTTATGGAATTTTGTTCTCCAGGCTTAGCCTTAAATAGACAAACATCTTGGTTTTATACAGCCAAGATTTCCATGTTTTTCCATCCTTTAAAATAAGAAAAAGCAACATAGATTCCTCTAGATGTTGAAGTCCCATTCTTCTCAGCCCTTAGCCAATGATGAAGAATGGCGCAGGTTAATTTAACAAACATGAAAGAGATTATCATTGCTCACTCCTGCCTTAACTGGAGCACATTAAAGTGCCTTAGGTCCATTCTTGTCTCATCTCCATCTTTGTACTGGGCCTTAAAAGCTATGGTTATTGGATTATGATCCCTAACCTTTCAGTCCAATCCTTTTTTTGAAAGCTTCATTTTGAATACTGAATTTGTGAACTTGCCTTTCTTGTGCAATTAAAACATTTGGTTTAGAAACCTATAAAACATAACTTACTCAATTATTTTGCATGTGGCACATTATAAGAAAATTCTTTACACAAATCTGCTTTTATGTTGCATCTAAGTTCTGGATCTTTTCACTGTTACAACTAGCAATAAGCTTTTAACGAAAAGGCTTCATGTTTTGGCAAATAATCATTTACATTTGCTTTAATAAGTAAGCAGATAAAGATAGCCATATGTTCTTGGAATATGGATTGGGAATTTTATTTTATGGTCGCAAGGAGTAGAAAGATAAGGGGAAGACATTGTTTGAGTGATATTCTTGGTACTGTCCCATTGGGTAAGTGGAGGTAGCTAGAGGAGGAGTATTGATTGGTTTGTACTGTTCTCTGTTGGTTCTCTGAATCTCAAGAGCTGCAGTTGTGAAGGGTAGGTAGAGGGAGCTATATGGTATTATATGCAACATATGCACATATAATTTATATTCCACCAATTTCAATAAACTCTAGGCAATACATCCAAAAGTATAAATATATTAAACCAGTAATTAAAAGCTGAAAGGATAGATTTAACTGTCCTAATTAAAAATTAATAATCCCAGCTCAGACTCAATTTTTACCACTTTCTGGAATGTTAAAAGTACACAAGCTAGCAGAATTTCTGTGGCAACATTGTTCTAGAAAGATGGGCTATTACTGAGACAGGCTGTTCCCCCAAGGGACCCATAATATTCCTTCCCAATTTGACTGAACAGGACAGGAATATTTTCATTGGAGGAATTAGTCTTCTGTGGCCAGGATCTAATCTGAGTTTTTGAAATGGGAAATTATGCATTTCAACAGTTCCTGTCCTTTGCTGTTTCATGTATTGGTGGAATTATCACTGCTGATTAATTTAATAATTTAGATTATTATGGTGTTGTTTTGTAATTGTTGTTGCATCCCTGCAGTTTCTTTATGAATTTAATGGTGTAGTGCTCTCTGTCAAATGGTATTAGTTCTGCAGCAGTTTCTGTCTTGAGGCTGCTTAAACTATGACTGACCATGCAATATATCTAGGCAAAAAAATAATTCTAGATGACAACATCCCTTTTTCTGTGCATCTGTGAGATAAATATGCAGCAAAGATTGTTATCATCAAAGGTTGTTACATAACAAGGTAGAACTAAAGTTTGCATTTTAAAATTTTAATTTAAATATTTGTTAGATGATTCTGCTATTATTCACTTCCTAATGACAAGCTACATGATCATTTTTAAGATAATGTCTAGGCCAACAAATGTGTTTCATAAAGCATGATTTCATGCTATTATTTTGTATCTCTCAAGATCCACGCCTGATAGATTAATCTCATTTTAAATATGAAAAATAAGTTTCATTTATTTCTTTTCACAACAGAGAAGCCAAAATGCTTAGCTCAACTCTTAAGGGTTGTCCATTTGATGTAGTAACACACACACATGGGCTGTGTCAGATCTCCCAGGGTTTTCCACATTCCCTCTGAAGCACTTCACCCTTTTTACATGGAACTCTGCTTAACAACCGGTGAGATCACTTAACAATCACAACTTGGAGTGCAGGAATTGTGGTCATTGATTGAAGCAGTCACACGATATTTTGTTTCACCTCTTCACTGAGATTCCAATTGTGGTCCTAAGTTTGTATAACTTATATATAACATGGGAGATATCTAAAAACTCATATCTAACAAAGCCATGTTGTAGGCTCCCTGTTTGCAAAAGATCCTTAGACCTAGCTAGAAGGCCATAGAGTTAAGGTCAATCTGAGCTCAGGAGGATGATGTTCCAAAGAGCAGGTGCTATGGAAGGAAAGACTGTCTTCCTGGTCCTACAAGATGGGCATGCCCTTCCTGCCAGACCTGAGTACATCTAATGGAAAAAAGGCAGTCCCTCAAAGATGATAGAAATTTTGCTAGATTCTCACATACATTTTAATTAATTTTAATATATCTGCATTTAATCCAAGCTCAACTGCCATTCTGAAGGCAAATTTTGAAGACTAAGGTATATTTTATTTTGGAAGCATGTTAGGTTTGTTTATCTGTTTTAATGTACTATCCTTTGCTTTGTTAACTGACTCATTTAACAAAATTCTGCTCAATGCAAACTATATCTTTAGGAACAGAGAAAATGAATGTTCTGACTATATTCTTGTATGTTGAGGAAACTCAAGTGAGACTGATATTCCTCTTTCTAAAAACTATGTAGAAGACCCATGGAAATTCTGATGTACTTCTTTTAAAGCAAGAATGCATATTGATTCTCCCATAATCCTTTAGAAGCTGTATAAGACTGATAGGTGGAATCACAATACAAAATTTCATCTCCATTGCTACCAGTCCCCCCCGCCCCCGCTCTCTTTCTCTGAGAGAGAGGGAGGCAGGGAGAGAGAGAGAGAAACCAAAGAAACAAGGAAACAAGACTATTGGAACAGAGAGGCTTTTACCTTATCTATGGCCATAGTTAGGCACTTCAATCTTGTCTGTAACCTCACCCTTCCTTCTATTGAGACCGAGATTAGGATTATAAGGAAGAAATAACCAGAAGCCATTTTTAGCATCTGGGCCATTTTAGCCAACCTTAAAACAAAAACTAGTTTTCTGCTCCAACAATCCTGCTAGGTAATTGGGACCAAGTTGGCACCATTTGTTTCTCAGTGGTCAGACAGTTGATTCGTTGAGTACTGAGAAAACAGCTTTGAGGCTCCAAAGTCTCACTGCCTTCACAGAGATCAAAGAAACCAACTGTGATGCATATGAGACTAAGAGAGGTCATTGAAAATAATATTGTATACTTTTCTGTCTTTTGAAAATGCACAACATAAGTGAAACAGAACTATTGAGCTGTTTTAATTGCACGAGTTATTTATAATTATTTTAGCAGGGTGTTTTTTTTTTGTTATGTAATACACTAAAAATGAATTGCCAAAATCACTTTACGGAATGACTTTTGCATGTCAAATTATTGTGAAGACATCTCACTAAGAATAAATATCTTTCCATAATCTGAAGATATTGCTTTGAATGGAAGGATAGTAATTTAAGTTGAAAAATGTAAGAATTCACATCCTTCATTCTTTGTTTATGTTTATATGTGTGTTTCTGTGTATATACTTACTATCTGCAGAGTTATTTTATTTTAGCCCGTGGCTTTACTGCCAACATCAGGGAACATTAGTTTTCTCCCAGATAAGTCTGTAAAATACACATTGCTGCCTATTGAAATGCATTTGTGTTTGCTGTGTTTGAAATATCTCCTGAAAAAGTTTTATAAAGTAAGCACTGAAAAAAACCATCATATGTTGATGATATTTCTTGTTCCAAAATATTTGTAATAGCTGGGGAGCTATAAGTAAGTGGTATGATTTTCTTTGTGAATATGGTATGTAGGTCTGTTTCCTGCCCCAAATCACTTAGTCTATAGCAGATTTCTGATGGAACTATTATGCACATGTAGAATGTATGTTTGAATGTATTTATGTGTGCACGTATGACTGCACAAACACATGGATGACCACTTGAAAACCACATATATAGTCACTAACTTTCTAATTTAGTAGGTATAAATCTTAGCCATACCAATCATACATCATAGTGCACTATTTAATAATTTCTCACTGATCTGTATTATTTTTAGATTCTCCCTTTGATAATGGTTACCTGAAACAATGACATTGCTCAGTAAAGTTTGGTGCCAATAACCATGTTTATAAATTTGAAAGTAAAATTGGTGAATGATTTAACAGAATAATGGCTATGGAGAGGTTTGCCTGTTCCTTTACCTTTTACTTTTGGGGAAAAACTAAGAAATAGTTACAGTGCTTTTTAATTTTTGTTTTATTTAATTTCAGATTCTCTAACAAAATAATTCTTAAAGCTATCTGAAATTTTTTAATCTAATAAAATATTTCAAAAGCATTTCATTATCTTAAATTTGTCATTTTAATGAGAAATTGAAAAATGTTTACGAAATTTTCTGAAATAATGCATTTTTTAAAACTGCAGGAATTTGCTGCACTTACAAAAGAACTAAACGTATGCAGGGAACAACTGCTGGAAAAAGAAGAAGAAATTTCGGAATTGAAAGCTGAAAGGAATAATACAAGAGTAAGTAGAAAACTACTTACAGCATTAACAGGAGACTTTTATTAATAGAGCTGAAAAAATGTAACAATGGCTGTATTAGATCTGTATAGGTCTTGTCAGAGCAAACATATTCTAAGTTAATGCCATTGCATTCTTTCGTATTGTCTTTTTGAAAATTCAGATTTTTATATTTTTGAGATTAATTCTATTTCAGGTTTATCTTTTCGAGCCATTTTTAAAATAGGTTTTATTGAACAGTTTAAATATCACCTGACTTTTAATAGTTGCCCAGAGATTGCTCGGTTTAGTTTTTGACCCAGGTATGAAATTGAATAGCTGACACCTGAACAATGATTGAGAAAATTATGGCTGTTTATCTCCTGACGTCCCAAGACCTTTTAGTGATTACTGATTATGAAACATTTTGAACTCATGAAGCGATGAGTCTTCCCAGATAATTCTTAAGAAATCCAACTGTTTATAGCAGATAAATTGCAGAAAATGCTAGTATACAATGGCTAGAAATCTTTCTATACCTGAAATCTTTCAAAAGCAGTGCTACAAAATTAACATGTCCCTCCTTTTTGTTCATTTGGTATTCAATATGCCAGAATTCTTTATGAAATTTAGAATCATATCATCATGACTAGGATTATGAGACATGTTCCACTTGTGGGAATAACGACAATCACATCAAGATAAATAGATATCTTCTGTTCCAACAACTCAGCTATTAAGCAAATTGAACTATTTGAACATGAGAGAGGGAGAGAGATTGGGAAGATCCCTAGTTGCTTCAATTCATTCAGACAAAGTTTTGTCATCTGGTGGCCTGTGCCTAACTTGTTTTATTTTTCTTTTTGTTTGCCCCCTCCCTGAACTAAGAGATTACTTAGACAAGCAATCTTCCTGAGCTGTTTTTCTATAGCTTAACATACCCCTAAAAAGTGCTAATGGCAAGCTCACTGACCTTAATTAGTTGATTAGAACCCTCCAGCTAGCTGGTACTGTTGTCTGAACTTAGCCATATCTTAATCAGTTTCTCACTAAAGACTTTTGTTGTCAGGTACACAAAATTTAGTCCTAAATGCGTACACTGGTCAGAATTTTTTTTAAATTTCCATTTATTACTATTGTATTTGTGAATGGTCGCTAAACAAGGGAGTTGCTAATTGAGGAATGGCTGTAATGGCTGATATGCTTGATGAGCCGAAGGGAAACTCAGGCGCTAATCTTCCCATAAGAATGGAAGACATATGGATGACTTTGACTGTGAAGTCTATTTATCACCCTCCACTGGACCAGCATAGTAGATCATGATACATTTCTACCAGTAAAGTGTCCTTCATTTTTGAGACTCTTGCTGATTTTGATTCTAGCTGATGCTTATTGGTTAAATGTTAACATATTCATAATATACTTTCACCTCTATTTATATACTAATTGGATTTTTTAAACTTTATTTCAATTCTGTCTCAATTGGCAATATATTCATATTATTAGATTTTTCTTCATTTATCACTCGTGGTATTGGGAAAAGTGTTATAAGGTTTCCAGTATTGGAAAACTTGCCACTTTTGTTATGATTTTGATTTAGGCTTTAGAAATACAGTGTCTCTAAGCTTTAGGTACTAATGAGCTAACTTCTTCATGTTGAAACAGCTGTTACTGGAACATTTGGAGTGCCTTGTTTCAAGACATGAAAGGTCACTGAGAATGACAGTGGTGAAACGCCAAGCACAGTCTCCCTCGGGAGTTTCCAGTGAAGTTGAAGTTCTGAAAGCATTGAAATCTTTGTTTGAGCATCATAAGGCTTTAGATGAAAAGGTACAGTATGGACATAAATGCTTGCTTACTTTGCACATTCTCTCTTTGCTTCCCCCGGACTGAAGATCTGCTCCTCATCCTGGTGACATATGTGATGATGATGATCATTTCAGGATGTTGTTCCCCACCTAGTCTTTTTTGTTGTTCTTCTTGAAATAGCAACAGAGGAGAAAAAAAAACTAAATGCCAAAATGTTGTGCTGATCATGACAAACCTTTATATTGAACAGATGTGATGTGCCTTTTGGTAAAGTCAGTGCCAGACCATTCAGAAGAACTAGCTTTCTTGAGGATTTGTATATTCTCTGTTTCTTTTTTTCTGTCTCAAAGAGCAAACATTGAACTATTGGTTCCTTTTATATGACTTTTGAAGTTTATTTATTAATTTTCAGAGCAGATATCAGATTTCACCAGCATACATGTGCCGAGTCTTTCAGATTATCAGTGGGGCATATATTTCTCTTCCCAAGTTTTTAAAAGAAAGTTCATACTTTCCAACATTTTAGATGTTTGAAACATTTTTATTTTCATGATAATTATGAGGAAAAGAATTAAAATCCAACCTTTTTCTCCAGGATGTTAATATTGCATACATGAGGATCGGTGTTCCTTGTATTCCTCTGACAACAATCTTGTGAGATAGGCTGATTTGAGAAAGACTATGTCACCCTAAACTAAATTCCACTTAATTAAATATCACTTGAAGTGCTTCATTTTTCTGTATTAATTTACTTTGCTAAGAGCCTGCCTTCTCTTGACCTAAAATCAAAGAGCTAATGAGAATATCAACTTATCAGTTTATTATCAACAATTCAAAATATATCTTCAATGGTTGCAGTAAATGAAATATCAGATTGTACATTGCATGGTGCTTGATGAGGAAATTAGATTTTAACTTTAATAGTATGACTAGCAGACCTATCTCGCTGAAATACCTTATTTTTAATGCTAATTTACTACAAAAAAAGTCACAATAAGAAAGTAAATAGTAGGATAATATTTCTCATTTTGCATACTGTAGCATTGATTAAAATAAGTTTTTCTTCCCACTTCCAATGTGCATTGGAGATAGCAGATACATCACATGCACCGAAATCTAAATTCTTAACAATCTGGAGAATCCTAACCAATAAAACTAATCTTCATATGAACAAAATGCCCAAAGCTATGAGCCCCAAATGCAGTACCCATAGAGGTGATTCCACTCGCGTAGTGTTCAAGCTGGATCAAACTGTCAGAATTTGTAGGTACTTCCAAATGAGTCAATTAGCCACAGTTAATTTGTAGAAAGCATATCTTTATACTAGTAAAACTCTTGTTATGATATTGAACTGGATAAAGCAGTGCAAATGCAAGCACCAATTATGGAATCAAGATAACTTCAAATAGACTAATTTATAGAATGTGTCCAAAATCCGGGACTGTTGTGGTTAGCCGGCAGCAGGTGCAGACGGTGGAGGAGAGCGAGGACTTGGATGAGGGGCCAGGACCATCATGGAGTGGACTGCTGCTTTCAGGGATTGTGGGAGCTGGCAGCAGTGATGAGGAGGTTCCCGAGGAGCTTGTTCCAAGTGTGCGTGAGCGCAGGATGATTCATAGAAGAGAACAGCTAGAGCAGCACAGGCAATTCAGGAGTAAGGATGCAACATAATGGCCCCTCCCTCCAGGGAATATCAGCCTGGTTTCAAAAGATTTTTGCCTTTGCAAAAGGCAAAAACACTCAAAGGACCCATCATTGTGTGTAGAGACTCCGGCTTATCTGAAGAATTCTGTCAAGCCTTTTCTGATTGGACTAATTGGCTGCAAGCCATCTTTTATCTACAAAGAAGTTATTTGTAGATTAAAGCTATGAAGGTTTGAGTTGCTGCATTTGTTTGAGATTTTCTTGCTGGTAACAGGGTTGGGTCAGAACAGTGACATGGAACTTCCAGAGAATGAAATTTGGGGAAATTGTGGTTGTTTTGGTATGTTGGCTGCTGCTCAGCTATTGCCACAGTCATATGATCTTTATTTTCAACAGTCCATGACAGTTTCCCAGCCAGTCTCACAGAGGGCTGTTAGATTATTAGAGGACTAATAAACTATTGAGAATAATTTTGTTCCACCTTTGAAATCCTAGGAAACTTTTAAGTTTCCATGGTGATTAAATTTAATCTTGGTAGTTGGAATTTGCATAATTCATCACTGCTGGAAATGGTCTTTGGAGGCCAATATTTTTTCATAATTTAATTTCACTTTGCAAAACCAGAGACCCTCCTCCCAAAGCCATTCACCACTAGAAAAGTAGCAATGTAGTGTGTTGTTGTAGCATGTTAATGAATAAACCATTATTCTAAACATTCAAGAAAGTATTTATTTTGGTAAATAAAAATTTCTCCCTCCCCCAACTATTCAGCATTCTTTTCAATAAGTGACAACCATTGCATCTTTGGTACATTGATTGCTTAGTTAATTCTACAGGTAGACTGGATTTAGCAGACTGAATTGCTTGATGCCCAATAATATGTCAAGCTACATAAGCACAAAGCTAAACTGATTTGTCATTATTTCACATTAATGTCAGTTAAATAAGATTCATAAAATTTGATAAGAAGCTCAATTTGCAATTTATAATTCTTTATAGAAAAGGATACTTTTCAGATTACAGAAATGAAATGCTTATTATTGTCCCAAGACAAAGCAAACAGTCTTTGGTCTTCATAGAAAAGCTAATGTAATTTTTGTTGGATGAAAATGAAATGTCTATGTTTAAGAAGAAAGGATAAAAATGCATATTTAAAAAACTATTTTACTTATACTCTGTGACATTGATTTGGTTAAATTGATCTGATCTGGGCATGTGTAAGCCTCAGAGTTTAGCATTTTCCTCTCCACTTGCCTTTTCCAGCTTGATTGGAAATAGATCAGAAGCATTTGCTTGTATTTTGAACAACACTGTATTTACTTGATTGTAAGAACCGTGATGGTACAGTAGTTAGAATGCAGTATTGAAAGGTAATTCAACTCAAGGCCAGGAGTTTGATCCTCACCAGCTCAAGGTTGACTCAGCCTTCCATTCTTCTGAGGTTGGTAAAATGTAGACCCAGATTGTTGGAGACAATATGCTTACTCTGTAAACTGCTTAGAGAGGGCTGTAAATCACTATGGAATGGCATATAAGTCTAAATGCTATTGCTATTACTGTATCTCAGCTGGGATTCCAGCTAGTTTTCTTTTCTGAACAAGTCAAACATCATTATCCAGTGCTGAAGTTTTTTTTTTTCTTCTGAGAAGTCATATTTGAAACTAACATATTTTTCCAATTTGACATTTTGAAAAACCATTAATTGAAAATGGAAGCAAATACTTCCAATCTCCTTATAGTCATAGTGGAAGAGGAGAGAAGAGGGTGAACGTGCTTCAGAAAATGTTGGTATATTACTGGTGTGAACAATTCTAAGGCACAGGCCAAACCAAGCCTATTTTTCTAATCTTCAGAGCTTGTGTTCTGACCCACGCCCTTTTCCAACAAATAAAACACAATTCAAAAGGAACAAAAACCTTGTAATGCTTGTACCAAAATAAAATTAGCTGTGATAAGCACAAGCCTTGCCAAACTGGACGAGGCTTGCCAAAAGATAACAGACAAGAAATAATTTGCAATACAAAAATGTTCAAATACAAACTCAGGATACTAGAATGTCCACGAGGCTGTAGTTTCAAAATGTCTTTGTCTTCTGCAAAAAAGGTTTGTTTCACAGCTGGCTTTTATCTTCTTGAGGAAGGGGCCATTACCTTGCAGTCTTACTCCCAAGTTGCCCGTACTGTTGTAACTGCTCTTTCTTATGAGCAATCCTGCACGCATGCGCATTTGGCACAGGCCCCTCAGGAGTCTCCTCATCACTGCTGCCCGCCCCCACAATCTCTGAAAGCAGCAGTCCACTCCCTAATGGTCCTGGCCCCTCATCTGAGTCCTTGCTCTCCTCAGTTGTCTGCACCTGCTGCCGGCTACCCACAACAGCTTGTTCCAAATACAGCATTCCTCAAAAGTAATAATACAGTTTTTTTGGAGACAAATGAAAATTGTTCTATAAATCCTAAAATAGGTTTAAATTGTTTTTTTTTTTTGAAAGAAAAAGGAAATAATCCTACCAAATGTATGGAAGGAAAAAAAGAGAAACTTTTGGTTCTGCCTATTTGTGTGATGTGGACTGATAACAGAATTGATTTTTTTTTAAAAAAATATAGCTTATAGATTGATGGTCCACTAGAGTGGAAATCAACAGTCTTTCTATGTATTGGTCATCTTTTGTTCTGCTTTTCCTCTAGGACCTCCTATTCACGTTCCTTTCTTCAATTTTATCATACAACAATACCTTTTATGGTTAGTTACAAAGAGTGTATCTCATCCAAAGATACAGAGTAGCCATTTTATTGTTAGCATGTTTTTTTTATTATTTATGTCTTTACACTTATCACAGTCCTGCTTTTCCTTCTATTGGGAATAAGGTCTTCTAGAATACTAGCAATATATTTGCAAAATCTACCTGAGAGATAGAAATATATATCAGTGGAAAGAGTTCCTATAGAAAGGATGTTCTACTGAAATAGTAAAATAAAATATACATTGTAAAGTAAATTATTGAACATTTATTCTGGAGAAGAGGAAGATGGATAAAGAAGAAATAGAATTTTTAGAATGGCTATGTGATGAAGCTTCAGTGTTTAGGGTAACGAAGAATGACTTGGTTGAAATCTTTACCTATAAGCTGCCCAGTGTGATAGAGAAGAAAAGCAAGGGTTCATTAGATTAAAAGAAAATACAGGCAGTAAACATTTCTTAGCCAATGCTTTATTGGGCAATTATTTATCAGATCAGAAATCTATAGACCCACCATAGATGAAATGTAAGACTCTTGTTGCTAAGACTATTTTAATTGTTGATGGGGAAGGGTTGGTAATATCTAGATTCCATGTACATAGTGTCACTTTAATGATGGAATCTATAAACTGCAACATCAAAAATAAATTGTTACATAATGTATATTTTCTCCTAGGTCAGGGAACGACTAAGGGTTTCCTTAGAAAGAGTCTCAGCGCTTGAAGAGGAACTAGCAGCTGCTAATCAGGAGGTAAGAAAAAAAATCGGTTAATTCTAAATGGGATCAAACATTAAAAGAATTATCTGGATTAAAATTATTTTAATTTGAACTTAATATATAAATGTAATTTATAATGTATAAATTAATTTATAGGAATACTTTTTTATTGAGGTCATCTTAAGTACAAGCAATTGTGCTATGGTATGAACTTTCTAGTGGGTGAAATCTGACTAACAGGATGTTAGCTTGGGAAATTAAATGTTGACTTGAAAGTTTAGAGATTCTAGAGCAATGTGAGCATCATTGGAGTAAAATTTGGCTTTGATTGTTGGTATACAAGCTAGCATGTGTCAGAACAGATCAATGCTCTCCACATCATTGCAAAGAATGCTGCATGATTTCTATTGAGCAATGCCACAATGAGCATTGATGCCAACATTTGTAGACTTACCCATTGATGATAATTGCATATGGAAAATTGTGACTTAGAATGTAAGAATGTAAGTGATAAAAGAGTAAATAAATAAATGAAGGTATAGTATTGTTTAGGTTTAGGTTGTTTAGGTTTAAACTGGCTTAAATGTATAGAATTACTTATAAACTTTCAAAGTATGAACTTCCACCTATATAAACAAACCTGTTTGCAACTCCAACCTAGAAGGTTCTGGAAGTTAGAAAAAGGCAGGAAACGGTTAGTTTATGGTATGCTGCATACTATGCTTGGCAGCAATATCAACCAAATCTCCAGTTTCCATAGATTGGGTGGTCCAAAAAAATGTGGAGCCACTCATCAGCCTGGGACCACTGAGAAAGACAGTCCATCTCTCATCTGAGAGGTTTGCAGTAGGAAAATAAGGCAGCACAAGAATGGCTGTTAGGACCAGCATTTACCTCTCCCTCTGCCTGTGGTCACATGTGGCCTGTGGGACAATTGCCTGTGGCCTTTCTCTAGTAAGGGTCACAATGGCCCATGGGACAATTGACCCAGCCTGGGAGTAAGGGGCAAGAGAAAGCCAAGGCACTCACTACTATTCAGAGGGCTTAAGTTTTTACACTCGTTGGACTTGCAAACAAAACAGACTTACAAACAACATATTGGAATGTAACCCATTCATAAGAACAGCATTGAATGTATGTATCCATTGGTGTCCTCTAGATTATTCTGGGTGTGAAAGTAGAAACTCATTGGATAGTGGTAGTTACATGTTATGCTCCAGTAATAATGTTAATGGGAGAAATATAGATGAATTTGAAGAATAAACTGTGCAACATTCTGAATGAATGGAATTTAGAATATTAGATGACATAAATAGCTACATAAAACATGATCAAACATACAGAAAAAAATGATTGGGCCATTTAAAAATCCAGTAATGAATTAAAGCAGTATTTGTTGACTCTCTGCCTAGGATAAGGTCTGTTCTGAATAGGTGTTCAGTTTATGATTATCCATGTGTGCACATGGAAAAGGACAGAATAGTTAATTAAAAGAGGTAAAGACAATGCAACACATTTCAATAATTCTTGTAGGTTGTTCAAAATAATACAAGAGATTACAGTGAGCAAAAAAAGCCCCATAAGGAATACTTGATGGTGACCTTAGAAGTGTGTTTAAATAATGCAAATGCCCTTATATTTTTTATTGCAGATTATGTCATGTTCTTGAATTCAAATTATTTGTAATAAATGTTAGGTTGATTGATATAACTCTGAATAGGAATTATAAATTAATGTATATTAGTCAAGATAATTTTATTTGACAGGGAAAATGAACTGAATAATAAGTAAGTGAAAAGAAAAAATAGAGCAAGTAGATGAATCATGGCACCTTGGTAGGATGTTTACTGAACATGACTTTTTTTAAAAAAATGGAACATCAAACAAATCCAGTCAGTTTTTATTCAAATCATAAATGACCAGCTCAAATTACTTTGGATTATGTGAAGATCCAGCTCTTTTGAAAAGTCCATAATTCTGGGTAATATGGAAGGAAAGAAAAAAAAGAGGATGACCAGCAAAGTGAACAGACTCAATTATAGCAGCAATGGGTATATTGTTGAAATACCTAAAGAACTAGAGTGGAGGGAAAGACAATTTATCTGGACACTAGGTGACAATATTAGCTTGCTGCATATAACAATCAATCAAATGCTGGTAGATTGATGGGGAGAAGAATGTAGTTTGTTTTGAGGAATGAATGTTGAAAAATAGCATGCTTTTAGTCTATTTGTTGTATTGAAGTAAGAACAGGGTTTGTCAAGAGAGAAAGATAAATGCAAATTAAATTCTGAATACTTAAGTCAATAAGGTAAATCAAGATGGAACAGGGTAAAATGAATGGGTTCAGTTAGTTTGATCATAAAGAGAATGAACAAGGATCAAATCACAGAACAAGTATCTGAAGGAAGAATAAATGTATTAAGAGGAAGGGAGATCTAAAAGTGGTTAGTGGATTGAACAAAATTCTGAAAAACAGACAGGTGAAAAGTTTAAAGAGCAGAAGCAAGCATAGTTTGCGAGAGTCAAAAAGTGTAAGTATAGTGAATTGTATTATCATGGATTGTATTTCTTTTCCCTTTCTCTTATTTTATGCCTTTAATTTCTTTTTTTATTATTTCTTATTCCTTTTCTGTACTTGGTATAATGTTGCTTACCTCAGAAGGAAACACCATAATGGTAATGTACTATGGCCCATATACTATATTATACACTATAACGATGTGTATATTATATGTTTGCCATGAACTGAAGTACTCATATGTCTTTATAACATTCAAAAGTCAAAAGAATAATTTTGACACAAATATTTTTTTAAAAAGTAAGTTGTTATGTCCAAAATTTTGTATATTTTCTGCAACATTACTCTCACCCATGTACTAAACTATTGATTAGTTGCCCACCCAGATTCTAGGTAATGCAGCGAACTGGCATCAAGGCTGAGCAAGAAAGGACAACTGATGCAATTATAGGGTTTTAGATAGAGACTGAAAAGAGCTTTATAATTTCAGCACTGTGCTCAGAATTGGTCAGATAATAAAGAATTAATTGGTCTGCCCCAACAAGAAAAAAGTAAACTTTAGGGAGCTTAAAAATAAATCCTCCAAAAACCAGGCTTATTGATCATAATTCAAGATCATCTCCTTCACTTTTAAAAGAAAAAAGCAGTAACATGTAGGGATTTGCTTAGTTTGCCCATAGAATTGTCCTAGGATCAATGCAAGAAAGGTAACACAGGAGGAATACTCTGTCTGAACATTAATTTTCACATGCAGCTTCTTTCTCTAAAGAGTCATTTTCTCAAATACTTCTTTGTTTCTGTAGGGAATAAAGCTGTAATAGCACTCATAGAAATCATTCAGGGGAATTTATCTTGCAGAAAATAGTGCCAATTGAATTCAATGCTAATTTATAAATTAAATTTATCAAGATTTGCAAAGCAGTTTCCCAAAAGACAATGTTCCTTTTATAAAGTAGTTGCATAGAAAATTATTAATTTAAATTATGCAAATTATTTTACCCCATATATTAGTTAGGAAGGATTCTACTGAAACATTTTTTGAAACAGGACTTTTTCTTCAATGAGTTGAACCATGAAGAAGTTTGTTCCAGAATGAGAATAGTATTGTCTTATGATGATCCAGTTATCCCTTGCAGACCATCCATGATGGATGAAGGTGGAACTGCATAGATTGGTGATCTTCTGGATTCACTTAGCTAGAATGTCTGTTATGAGACCTAACTCTCATGATTGACTGCTGGCCTTTGACCCTGTGTGATTATTTATGTTGTGGACATCTCTCTTTTATAACTAATTTTTGGAGTTAGAAAATCAGCTCCATATTAGACAGAAGGCAGAAGTTTTCTAGAAAACCAATATTTTCATTGGTATACAAACTTGTGATTTACTAAATGATTTAGCAGTGAGAGGTGGGGTAGTCCAGTGGTTTCATTCATTTACCTCAGAAGGAAAACAAATCATCCATTGATGAACATGACAAAGATTTTTCTACCATTAATTTTATTGTTTTTAAAACAAATAGTAGTATTAAAATTACTAATAATATTTAAGCTTCAATTCCATTTTACTATCAAGGCTCTAAGAACCACTAATTGATTTTTTTCTAGAGAATATTATTCTAGGCTATGCCAAGATAAACATTTTTGAAAATGATTTAAATGTTTCAGAAGATGAGATTGTAAAGCAAAGGTAGGAAACCTTTGGCCCTTCAGTTGTTGGACTGAATTCCTATCATCCCTGGTATTTGTAATTCTGTTAGAGATGATGACTTTTGTAACCTAACAAAATCTGAAGGTGTGCAGATTCTTCCATTGTTTGACAATTATTCTCCTCTTTCTCCTTGCTTGTATGTGTGGGTGAGACAGAGAGAGGCAGAGACAGAGAGCATAGTTTGGGATTTAGCAATCCATATACCAAGTGGTAGGAAGTTTCAGTATGACTTCTTTTCTTCTATACTATGAATGTTGCATGAAATTATTCCCTTTGCATATGATTGAGTAACTGTTTGATCAGGCTATTCTAATTGTTTATTAGTTTTGATGAAAAATTAATCATTCTCTATTAGAAGCCCAAAATTACTTTAAAATTTCTGGTAAAAGTGTCATATTAATGTGGAAAAATCCCTGATTCTTGGGTCTGAACAGATGGATGTTGTCTGGTTTATATATCCTGTATATAAGGCCACCTAGTGATAGGCCAGGTGGCCTTATGCTTTGTATGCTTCAGTTATCACAATTGACTTATCCATTGGTCAAAAAGGCATATTTTTATAATAGTTTGTTTAAAAATTTGAGGATCAGATTATCTTTTGGGGCCTTATCTACAAGTATATTCAGGATGTATGGATACTTACATAGATATAAAAATATTATTGCATATACATGTGAATAAACTCTTCCATGGATCAGCTGAACCCAATTTGGGGGAAGTATTTTGTCCCCTACAATTTTGAGCTAGCTGCAAACATATATATTATATGAAAAAGAATATGACACAATGCCACAGGGGTATCTATGTATGTATGTATCAGTATTAAAATGCATATAGTGATATTGGAATTTCCTGCATGGTGGTATGGAAAGTTTATGTTTCCTCTGTAATCATCTTCCTGAATTTTGCGCCCTGTGGACCTTCAGTATCATTATGCCAAATTCCTAATAATTTAAATTGCTAATTTTAAAACTGTCACACCTCTGGGGATCTGATGTGACTGCAGTCTTGTGTTAGGGGACTTAAATCTCTAAAAATAAGTGAAATATAGTAAGGTGTTGATGGCTTGGGGAAGTGTTGATATGTTAAGCAATACTCCAAACATGAACTATATTATTAGGTTCACTCAAGTATTTTTTCACATAATATGATATAAAAAAACGCTTTTTGTGTTGCATGGCATTTTTTATTGTGGTTTAGATATAGCTCCACAGGAACTCTGCAATGCAACTTCAATAAACTAACCTGTCAGAAATTACTTAATAAGCACATAACCATTTAAAGTACAGCAAATTTGTCTGCTAATGAAAAATTAATGGTTTGGAAATATACAGAGTCTAAATCTAGATCCTGAATCAAGTTATAAGTTTGACAGGTCTTATAAAGATTTTAGCTTTCCACTAACTATTTTTTCAGGTAGCACAATAAAAATAGTGTATGAGTGCATATTAATGATATGTATTAATGAAATGCCAGAGATGGCATTTTCTTGATGGAGTAATTTAAATTAAAGCTTGTTGATGTTTTTTCACATATTCAAATTAATTTTTACAAGTCTTCTTTAAGCATCTTGGAGAAGTTTTGCCCAGAACATATCATCTTAATTAAATTACAAACAGAAATATATATTGGGGAGTTTTTTGACAAAAAATATTATTCCTCTTTAAAATACCTCAAATTTCAAAAGGTAAACATTAACATCCCATATGGTGTTCATAGCTCAATATTTTTTTCATGTAAAATATATTCTGTTTCAAGAATTCCTTAACTAAATGAAGCCGTTTTGTTCATAGTGCCTCCACCATTTATTTCATTGCAACGCCTTATCTTCATGTAGAAAAATAAAGAATACATAAATAGCATTATATGATTAGTTGCTGTCAGACTTCCAAAGTAAATTAGGCAGGAAACATGAGTAGATGAGCTAATTCTACTTTATTGTAAGGATACCTTAAGATCTTGCAAGTTTGAAAGTACAAACTTCCCACCACTATTTTTGATCCTTTAGGGTGGGTCCTTCTGTCCTTCTCTGGCCATTAAGCCACTGGGGGCTCCTGTCTCTCATCTCTGATTGTTTCCTAGGCAGCACCTCTTTCCTTCCTCCCACAAGGTCATCCACACATTCCATTACAACAGCAGAGTAAAGTTCTGCAACTAAATATGTTCATTTGAATGTGACATATTTGAAAACTTCTCAGTTGGTCAACAGTCCTTGATCCCTTTATCCATATTAAGTAACTCAATGGACTTCTGCCAGCCTAGCAGTTCGAAAGCATGTAAAAATGCAAGTAGAAAAATAGACTACTTTGGTGGGAAGGTAACAGTGTTCTGTGCGCCTTTGGCATTTAGTTATGCCAGCCATATGACCACGGAGATGTCTTCAGACAGCGCTGGCTCTTTGCCTTTGTAATGGAGATGAGTACCGCTCCCTAAAGCCAGAAACAACTAGCAAATTGAACCTTTACCTTTAACTCAATTTAATTCAACTCAATTCAAATTAGAAGCAAAGGCCATTTCAAAAGCCCTTTGGTACAATCTTGATAATATGTCTATAGCTTACAAACACTATTTCCAAAATCAAAGTGAATATGACTTTGAACTTTATGAAATTGAAAATCTATATAAAGAACACGATGTTTTCTCAATTATTGGCATCTTCCAAGATATTAAACACAAGGTGCAGGTCTGACCCAAATCATTTTATTCAGCCTGTATCCTCTATGTAGATGTACTATGTACTGTACATCTGTGTACTACATACCTTGCATCTATGTACCCTGTGCACAATTATGTAGCAAGCTCAATGGGTGAAGGTGAACAGAATGTGTGGAGATAAAAAGCAAAATGAAGTAATAAAGGAAATCTTCTGCATCTTGATAAAGAACAAGCATAATTATTGTCTACAGTAAAAGCTGAATCTGTTAATTGGGAGGAAAGGGAATTTAGGTGTTTTCAGATTAAATCAATTTAAATATTATAAACATCTACTAAAACCTTTTAATTATATTAAAAATCAAATTAATCATTGTGGCATGTACTAAAAATTTAACTGGAAGCAAATTTCACTCAGTATAATTAGACTGACATAATTTAATGTTTTTTACATATGCCTTTTAACTATGATGTAATTTAATGAAAAGAGCATTAGTCTATTGGGGAGAATAATAATAACACTTCTGCTAGAGGAGGTAGTAGAATTGATTTTCCTAATATAAGAAGGCAGGCATCATTTTTGGCCTCTATGCTTTAAAAAAATAAACAATAGATTGCATTCTACATTATGCATATCTATATTATGGCTTTGTGTTATTATGTCTCTTTGTATACTGTCCAGAGTCATTCAGAGGGATATGAGCAGTTTCCAAGTATACTAAATAAACAAAGTAAATTAATTTTTCTTAGCTTATAGAAATTTCTGTTCTGTAAAAATATGAATACAGATTATAAATTGAATGACTTGTTACAATGAATGGCAGAAAAAATGTTAAATATTCATTTACTAGATAACATAGAAAGAAAACTGTGTGAAAACTAATCTTATGTTCCATTTCTTTGGAAAATAGTATTTCAGAGCCACATTATATATTGTGTTGCGTCTTTGTGTTTAGATCTCATCACAAATTGTTCTTTCTGTAAAATCTGTTATTGTATTCCATTTCTTGGACTGAGATTATATGTAGTTTACTGAAGATTTAACTCATTTCTGCATACTTTAGTTGAGTGAGTTTATCCACCTGTCTCTTCTTATAATGCTAAAACAATGGAGAAAATAATGAGATTAAAATATGAGTTTGCAATTTTTCCCTGCTACTGGTAGTTGAAGTTTCCCCAATAAGAGAAAACTTGGTGAAATTAGCTAGCAGTAGTAGTAATAGTTGCCAGATTTAGCAACTTTAAAAGTTCATATTAACAGGAAAACAGAGTTTAGATCTTGGGAAGTAATTACAAGTAGTCCTCAACTTACAGCTACAACTGAACTCAACATTTGTATTGCTAACCAAGACTGTTATTAAGTGTGTTTTGCCCCATTTTACAACCTTTCTTGCTACAATTGTTATGTGAATCACTGCAGTTGTTAAGGGAATCTGACTTCCCCATTGATTTTGCTTGTCAGAAGGTCACAAAAAGTGATCACATGATCCCAGGGCACTTTAGCCATCACAAATACATGCCAGTTGCCAAGTGTCCTAATTTTGATCATGTCATCACGGGGACCCTACAAGAGTCATAAGTGTGAAAAACAGTCATAAGTAACTTTTTTCAGTGCTGTTATAAATTCAAACGATCACTAAATTAATGGTCGTAAGTTGAGGACTACCCATATTGCCTATTCATATCCATCCTATCATGCTCTGTATCAAGAAGTATATAATTTGTATTGTTCCTCAAAATTCTCCTTCCACCTGTACTTTTTAAAATGGATAAGAGAAGGTTTCCTGTAGTATCTCAAAGGTACCAAAGCACCATCTAAAGCCATCACAGACAGCCTGTAACACTAATGCTATAATTATTGCCTGCAGAGAAGGTTTCTGAACTTTCTCTTCAGGAATCTCTGCTAAAATAAGGCAGAATTTGAAAGTATAATCTGGGCTTGAATATCCTGATGTGGCCTGGTTGTGAGTATGCCATGGCCCAGTAGTGGGCCATGGCCCACAGGTTGGGGACCCCTGGCCTACTAGGCAAGCAATTGAGTTCTGTTCAATTCCTTTGCTGACTTTATTGCATCTATACTGCATCTCTCATTTAGTGTGATTGCTGTTGTAAAAGTCTGTAGTTCTCTTGCACAAAGTCACAATTGAACTGGTTCCACTCCAACAGGTTCATTCCCCCCCCCCTTTGTTATTTCGCTGTTCTAAAGCCTGATGATGAAATAAGTCCAATCTTTGAAACAGTGCAGTATCTCAGCAACTTATCTATGTAGTTGCCAGGAGTCAAGACTGACTCAAATGAAAATACATTTAAGTGCAAAACAATATGTACATTATATAAAATATCACCTGCAGTTATGGAGACAATATATTTCTTGTTATTTCTCGTTGTTTCTCATTTCCAGTTGCTAGGGAACATAATGAGAATGCTGTTGTTTCATATTGGTTGGACATTCTCATTTCTTCACAATGAAATACAGTATCATATATGGAAAATATAAAAATAGTTCAAATCATGTTTTGTTTACCATTTTTTATCACATCATCTAGTTGTGGTATTTATAAGACATACTGTAAATTAATAGTGTTCACTGTTTGGATTTTACATTAAGAATTTATTCTAAATTATTTTCTAGATTATAGCTTTGCGTGAACAAAATGCACACATACAAAGAAAAATTACATCAGGAGAGGGTCCACCTGATACAGAGCATATCAAAGGAATGGAGCCTGGACAAAAAATTCATGAAAAGGTATAAATTATATTTTTTCTCTCTCTCTTTTTAGAGTCATCAGGGTTTGAAAAGCTAGAATCACTTTATTAAGCTATCAAATAGTACATTTATATATAACATAAATTGCCCAGAGTAGCTGGAAGCTTGTAATAATAGTAGCAGTATTTTGAATTGCTTCAACACATCTCTGTATAAAATTAATTGTTCCTTGAAAGCAGTTGCTTATTCAGTGTAATAATTCTCAGTTGGAGAAGAACTAGCATGTTGGCAAAGTACAATTCCATATACCTGGTTGTTTCATTTGGAACATATATGAAAGTTCTGTAGTTTGCCCTTGAAGCTCTGAAGAGGTTGAATTAATAGAAAATAATGTCTTAAACTGTACATTCTGTAAAATTAGGCAACACTTCTCATTGTTCTGATTTTATGGTCCTCCCATTGTATCTACGATGTATCTATTTTTTTGTTAGTTCAGATCTGAAAATAAATAAAAAGGTGGTCAAATTTTGTGTCATGACCTGTAAGATTAGAGAATAAAATGTATCATTCTCCTTTAATTGGAACAAAGCAGTTTCCTTAATTCTGAAATAATTTTGCTTTGTCATTTTTAGGCTATATCATCATATATTAATTTATATCATCTTGAAAATAGGTGTGTAGGATCTGATCATGAAATAAAGTTATTGGATTTTGTTTGACTTGACTATGTAAAATAATGTATATCAAATGCAATCTTTATCTAAAATCTTTATTAACATGTCTCATTTTACAGTATATTGGAAGGCAACATTTAAAATGTTTTTTTATATTTTTCTCATTTGTGTAAGGATGATAGGCTTTTTGCAGTTAACTGCACGTCCTTACAATGCTAGCAAACCATAAAACTATCGGATGTCTGATGCTATTAGGACTTTGGGTTAAAATTCTATTTTTATTTTTGCTGCAAGGATGTTATTTATAAAAATTCTACTTGTAATAAAATGTGAAGCATTCCATAGATCCGTGGAGGGTTCATAATGTGATTTGATAGCCAGAGGATAGAATTTTTTTAAAAAAAGTTTCCTTACATAAAATAATTTCTTAAACGAGACAACAGGCCAAAAAAAAGAGAGAGAGAGAGAGAGAATGCTAACCAGAATCCTGCATTTTCATGTGTTGTTTTCAATAAACAGAGATCCCAGACAGTATCTGAAGACTGGATTGCTTCAGTCATTTTTCCGGCTCATTTTGTTGCATACTTAGATAAGGCTGTTTAAATAGGTAAAGTAGAAACTGTAGTTTAGCAATGCAGGCAGTCCTCAACTTATGAATGGTGACTTAGCGACTGTTCAGATTTATGGCAGACAACCCAGTTGCAAAGATCCAGTGGCCATCTCCCCCCACCTAGTCTTATGAATGCATGGTGAGGACAAAAGGATTTATGCATTTACGCATTTATGAATGTTTGCAGCATCCCACAATCACAAGACTGTATTCTTTAATAGTTTTGCCAAAAAGTGGCACTTATTTTCAGTTTTCAGCAAAACTGGTTTATAGGAAATCATTAGTTCACTTAACTACTATAACCTGCACTTAAAGAATGTTCAAAACAGGATGTAAAATTGGGTCAGTCACATTGGTGATACATTTTACAGTTGTCTTGATATGCAACTGTGATGGACAGGCTCCATTATGATTATGAGGACCACCTATATTCAGCACCATTAGTTCCCCTCCACAAGATTTAAGTTCCACAAACTGAATCTTTAACACAAATATAATAATGAAGAATAAGCTAGAGATCCACAAATAAACAAATATACTAACTAAGAATAAATTAAGAGTTTCCTCAGTAAATGGATGTGGTTTCACTCAACTGGACATGTCTTAGCTAATCAATTTTATATAAAGGGTTAGTTCAGCATTTGTTGCTATAGCTAGAGAATCTTTTAAACATAAACCTGCCATATCTTTGTAAATATGTTTGTAGAAAATTTAGTATAGAATGTTAAATTATATACTGACAATTGCTAGTATCTTGATGAGGTAATGTATTATTTTATATGGCTATTTACAATACCTGATAAACTGCATAATTATGTTTTTGAGAATGCCAATATATTAAAACAAGAAAATACTAGGCAGATTTTTTAGTTTAACAAACCAAGTAACAGTTAATCAGATTATAACCTTTTAAATGATTAGTTAGCTAAGTACATCTTTCCAAATATCTTTCATGCCTGAAATATGCCTTCAGAGAATGATCTGTTGTCCTTGCAGCAGGAACATACTGATTTCAATGCACAGGCAAGAAATAGAACAGATAGCAGAATGAAAGAGTTCAAAGGGATCTTGGAGGTCTTCTAGACCAACCCCCTGCTCAAGCAAGAAACCCTATACCATTTCAGACAGCCGCTTGTCCAATCTCTTCTCAAAAACCTCCAGTACTGGAGTTTCTGGTTCAAGCAGAACACAAGCTTCAAATCATAGAACATTTGTGCATTTCAGACTCATATAAAACATAATTAGGCATCTGCTAATAATGTCACATTCTCTAGAGAATATAATTTCCCAGAGCACGTTTCTAAAGATTCTATGACTTTTTCATGTGTCAGGAAGTTCGAGTGTGATTCATTGACTCTGTGGAAATCAGCAGGAGGCAAACTGTTTAGATAGCTTTTATGATTTGAACAAAACTGTTAATGTTAGTCATTTATAAATATCAATGATTAATTGCTGTTTTTGAGCCAAAAAATAATTGTGTGAGTCAATAAGCACATACAGAAGTTGACCAAAATGATATCCCACTAGCACAAAAGTATTATAATCTTAACATCAGGTAAATATTTATATAGCAATCACAGTGGCAGCTTTTATCTCTTCTGAAGGTTTGAATCCTTTCCCATAAAGCTATTGTTATACTTTCTAAATATATTTATCTCCTGTTAAAGCTCAAAGGAGTAGAAATACTTAGAATCTTGAAAGCAATCTATATATTTTATAAAGTCGAATAATTCATTCAAACAATTACTTCTGAAACTAAGCTGAATGATACATAAACTAGGAATTCATTCCAAGCCTTTAAAAATTAAATGAAATATTTTAGTATTATCTATCAGTATTTCACAATAATATTCCTATTGTATTAACATTAAGTATGTGTTACTTTGCTGTTCCAATACTTCCATATAAACTACAAAAACAGCTTTGAAAGAAAATCTAAAATTCTAAATTCTTCCAAATGTGGCTGGTTTTATAGGTTAAATATAGTTTAATGTTCGAGTACTTCTATGTAGATATCTAGTCTTTTGTAAGTATATTTCAGAGAGCATAACCAATGTAGAGTTCAGAATTGGTAAGAAAATATAATCTACATATCTGTATTTTTGATCCTTCTGATCCTTCTTGCTCTGGTTCTTTGTGGGGGTTTTTTGAACAGCGTCTATCAAATGGCTCTATAGACTCAAATGATGAAACTGCTCAGTTGGTAGAACTGCAAGAACTTCTCGAAAAGCAAAATTATGAAATGGCACAGATGAAGGATCGCTTGGCTGCCCTGTCTTCCAGAGTTGGAGAGGTGGAACAAGATGCAGAGACTGCTAGGAAGGACCTCATTAAAAGTGAAGAACTGAACAGCAAATATCAGAGAGATATTAGAGAGGTAAATCTCTTTTGGATGTTCATCCTGTCATTTGCTCAGATTGAGAATAATTTTATTTAGGGAAATGGAGTTCTTCCACAGCCAATTGGGGAAAAATAAATTTGCCTTTAACATTTAACAGTTTAAGATGTTTAATTGTAAGTGAATATTCTAATAGCAGTTGTACTTTTGCATCCATGTGTAGCAGTTTAAGCACTATTTTGCTATGACTTACTATGAGAAATAAAAAGCTTGCTCTATGAAACATCTCAGAGAGAGACTTAATCAACATGGTACACTATAGAAACATAATTTTCAGTGCAAGATTAGTCAAGAAGGGTAGGTAATCATCAAACATAGTACTAACCATTATAAAGTTGTTTGTAATATATTGTTTCTATGATATTTAGCAAAACTAAATGAAAGTTCCTAAATTCTCTTGCTAACTACTCATTCCAAAATGATGAGATATTGAACAGAACTTTATGTTGTCCTAATTTTGTTAATTTACATCATCACAATGCTTTTTGTTTTGCTATTAAATAGTGTTATTTAATTTCATTTAAAATCTCCCTTTAATTTTCAAGATTTTCACATTGTAAAGAATTACAATAGGATAAAAAGTTGAAGAAAAAGCAGGAAATATTCCAAATGTTTATAAAATATAATTATAGAATATTTATAAAGCATGTTTATAGAAATACAAATTATCCAGAAAAGTAAAATGAATAGATGATTTGAAGAGTTATTTTGCATTTTAAAATATGTCTATATTTGTCAGGAAACAACTTCGTTATGTTTATCTTTTATCATAAGATAATATGAATTGTCCTCATATCCAAATCTTAGTTTTGAATTATGGAAAATACAATAGAAAAAAACTAAATTATTCTTACCAAAGACCATGTTCTTTTGTAAATCAAGTTTTACAGGTACATTCACTGCCAACGATTTAGCCCTTTCTTATCTAAATTTCCACGGCACCCTATTTTTATTTTTATTTTCTGTTAGATAACCAGGATAAATTTATCTCTCTATATTTTATTGGTCAATTATCAAATAAAAGTGGTCTAATAATATTTTATTATTCTAATTTTGTTACATTGTGTGACAACTTCACCTACAAATGGTTGCCAATAGTCACAGATTTAGAGATTAACCTTGTTTCGTTTGTTTTACTGCATGTATTTTTACATGCAGTTTTTGTCTGTCAAAATTATCAGTTGTATTTCTTTTTTTCCCCTTTAACTTTCTTATATTGGAAGGATGTATCTGTGCATACTTACTACTTTGTTAGTCACAATGCATGTAAGAAAAGATGTAGAGGCAAAAAAGTATAAGACAGAACTAGCCACTTAACAATATTTTTGTAAATAAAGTCAATTTATAATAAATGGATGCAATAGTAGACAAGCAAGCAATATCAGATTCGGATATTCCTTGTCTGCAAATCCAATATTTGGATCTGCATCAGGATCTTGGAATTCTAACCTTTTTTTTCTTAGAGTCTGCACTTAAATAATTTGTCTATTAGGTTTAATGCTGAACCTGCTTTTCGCTTTTTCTATTTCTAGGTAAGTAAATTTCATTGCAACCTTTTCCTACAGTGTTGAATAGGACATCTATTGCTAGCTACTCCAATGTTGTATTTTGACCTGCTGCTTATTCTTTCCAGGCTATGGCCCAGAAAGAAGATATGGAAGAAAGAATAACTACCCTAGAGAAACGTTACCTAAGTGCACAGAGGGAATCTACTTCCATACATGATATGAATGACAAACTGGAACATGAGCTTGCAAACAAGGAAGCCATCCTGCGTCAGGTTCTGTATTGGGATTGCTGCTACAGCTCAAATGAATTGTAGGAGAAACTATTAAGATAAGCTCCCTCTTCCCCTATTTATTCATTACATTTGTTTCAAATTATGACACACTTGTTTTAGATTCATTGATTTCTATAGATTGAAGTCAGGAATGAATTTGTATTTTCATACAATCAAGTTGATTGTGTAGGATTAAACCTTTTTTTTAAAAAAAATAACTTGCTATCATGAGAAGGTATTGTTTTGGAATTTATTTGGTTGTAAGACCAGGTGTCTGCCAGGTTAGTACAGCAAACCTTTAAAAATATCTTAAGATAAGACAGAGGCAAACCAAATGAAAAGGGTGTCAGATACATAGGAGCAAATGTAGGCACACATTCACTATACAGGTAGTTGTAAGGACTGACAATATTCCACACATTATTTTATGCTAATAAACATAGTTTAATGGTAAGATACAAAATGTCCAATTTTGATTTAACTAAGAGTAAATCATAGTAAACACAATTAAACACAAAAATTGTTCACCTTTTCAATGAGACTAGTAAAAGCTAAGGCAAAGGGACTGCACTCTAATTTGGGCACAAAAAGAAAGAAAAGATATGGCAGAATATTCTCCTCTTGGTATATGAAAGAGGCAAATAAGCTATTAATTGCACTCCCCTGCTAAACTTTATGAACTTTATAATCTGCAAATGGCATTCAATCATGTGAACATTTATTTAGTTTATTTTTATATAATTATTTACCTTGCTTTACTAATTACAGTTTAGGAACAAGAAAATACTTGTTCTGAAGCAGCTGGCAAAGAATACTAAATGAGATATAGAATTGAAGTCCATACAAGATAGAAATTAAAGTTTCTAAAACAATGATAATGTAGGAAAATGTGATGTGTGTATATGTGGAGAGAGGGAAAAAACAGTACATGGGTTGTAGAATATATTAAAATTCAGTGTGAGATTTTTATTATGCAAATTTAGAATTTCCTTGTACATAAATCCATAGGTGCTATTTATAAATTCATCCGTTTTCCTATCATATTAGTAGTATAGTGTAGAGAGAGGTGTAATATTTGGTTGATGCAGGAGCAATACATAGAATGGCAATGAAAGCTGGATTAATTTACTACGTTTTCCCACCAAGACAGTTCTCTTATTATTTTTTTTCTTTTAATATTTGAACATTATATTTATTGGAAATAAATAACACAGAAAATATTTCATTCATCAAAAAGTTTCATTGGATTCATTCTGTTTCAGTTCTGAGAATCAGATTATTATAAAGCATAGATATTTTTTTCTATTTAAATTGAGTTTGTTTTGCTCTATTTCTTTTAATTCCTAAATTGACAGTGAAGAAAACTGCAGCTATCCTATCCCACTCTGACTTTTCATGTCAAGGGTCTTCAAACTTAGCAAGTTTAAGACTTGTGGACTTCAACTCCTAGAATTCTTGAGCTAACATGACTAGAGGAGGAATTCTGGGAGTTGAAGTCCACAAAACTGTCAAGTTTGAAGACCCCTGATTTATATTTTAGAGGAATATGATAGGAAAAGATCAGCAATTGCCACCAGTATATATGCATGTACTATTTACAGAACCAGGAGATTTACTTAACCTATTAACAATTTAATTATACAATGAACCATGTTGATTTGGGAAAATTTTACTCTCCAGATGTTTCTATGAATCTGTATTTTTTTTTCTCTTCTCCATTGCCTAGTTCCTAATCTAACCTTTAATCTTACAATTTCTGGATTTCAGATGGAGGAAAAAAACCGGCAGCTGCAAGAACGTCTCGAGCTAGCTGAGCAAAAGCTACAACAAACAATGAGAAAAGCTGAGACTTTACCAGAAGTAGAGGCAGAATTGGCTCAGAGAATTGCCGCACTGACTAAGGTAATGTAAGTTTAAGAATAGGTTAGTATCTGAAAATTGGCTTCTTTTAACATTGATTTTTCATCCCTTTCTCCTCCAGCACCATCAGCAACAATAAAAGACTTTTAGAGTGGACAAGATGATTCTACTTAATGGCACCGTAAATAAATATTAATTAGACAAAATTACTTGCTTTAGTTTAATTTAATTTAATGGCAGAAGTATTGCTTTGTGTTTCTTTTATGGCTTGATATATTTCTGCCAATATACCAGAGGAGTTTATTTTATAATACATTGTATTATAAAAGAATTATGATTAACCCAGTTCAGCTAAACATCATGAAATTTATTTGTCATTGCATTTTCTTCATGATTTTCTACATCACATTGATTCAGCAAACACAGAGATCATTTTCATTAAGATAAATTTCAAGGTTCAATTTTTTTTTTCTTCGCCACACATGAAGGATTCTGTGTTGCATGAGAGCATTAAGAGCTTGGATAGGACAAGTGCCTGATAAACTATTCCAGTAATATGCAGTCCACATCTCTGGAATCCATGGTAAAATGTACAAGTTGCCAACTTAGTTGTTCTGAAAGAACAACTTATAAAAAGTAAAGGCACACTACACTTGTGAATCCTTTTGCAATTTCTTTTTATTGACTTTCAGACCATAGTATTTTGCTTTGTATTGTGGAATTTCCCTTACATATCTTATTGTGCGATGATCTCCAGTTTGTCTTCTCAATATTTACCACTTCAATAAAGATGAAGAGAAATTATATAGTTGATATTAAAAAGTCTATACAAACTTAAATGAATTATATTCAGTAGAAAGAAAGCCATTTCAATTAAAATGTTATATTTATAGCTCAGAATAATAGCGAATGATATAAAAATGATTTTGTGTTTCCCTGCTTCCATTTCAAAATATTAATGAATTATTCCTATTTGGTTATCTATTCAAATATTTTTCAGTTGCTCATGCAACCATTTAATGAGACAATGTTTTCCTTCTCTGTTAGGGTTTCTGGTAATACATCAGAAAATGGTGTGTTGAAAAGAACATGTCAATGTACACGAATGTTTCTACATTATTTTCTACAGAGAGAGTACATGAATGAATGTTTTTGTATATTTTATGTATCTTCTAACCAGTGGTAGGATTCAATATTTTTTACTACTGGTTCTGTGGATGTGGCTTGGTGGACATGACAGGGAAGGATACTGTAAAATCTTCAATCACAGGTGGTATTTGCCAGTTCTCTGAACTACTCAAAATTTCCACTACTGGTTCTCCAGAACTGGTCAGAACCTGCTGAATACTACCTCTGTTTCTAACTAAACAAGTTAAGACAAATGCATATATTAATGCTCTATAAAGCAACATTTATTATTCCAATTTAGAGTTGTCTAATTTAGAATTCTCTACTAAGCAGTCAGGTGAAAATAAGTATAAATTTTAATTTTAAATATATAATCTACCAAACAGGTTCAGCCTTATCTATTTTCTCTACTGTTTCTATGTTGATGACAAAGGGTAATATTAATATTTGCAGTGATATTACTTAAAAGCCATTTTTGCTAAGCTATAGATTACCTGTTTCCAATTTTTCCAAGTCTGTTGTTCAATAAATATTTATGGTTTATATAGTTCACTTAGATTTTTATGTGTAAATTAGATTTATTTGTAGCTTAAATGACTTTAATTGAATGAGGTAGGAGGAAGCTACTATTTTAACCAGCCAACTCAGTCTGTGTTCTTTCTTGATATAGAGATGTTAACTCTCAAAACTTCCCAACCAGCTGGAAAAACTAAGTTAGAGGGCCCAAAATTAGATAATTACATTGTATACGATATAGCTAAAATTGGTTCAAAATATATATTTAGTAGTTGCCCCTTCTTCTAAGTAGCAGAAACACCAAGCAAAAACACAGCAGGGATCTTCTTTGAATTGTGAGGAGTGGTAGGCAATAGTTCTTAAAAATGCAGCTCAGGCTCAGCCTTTAATCTTCCATAATATAACACGCAATTGGCAGTTTGCTCAGAGATCCAGTAGGAGGAAGGTATGTTGGATATGTTCGTCATCTTGAGTTATTTTTTAAAATAATAATGGCAGAATAGAAATAAATAAAGGTTCTGTGGGAAGAGGGACAAATGTTGAAGATAAGGACCATCAGCCTACTTCATCTAACCAATCCAAATCCAATCACCAAAATAGGAAGGTGGTTCAATGGCTCCATATTAATATCCAAATTTGAGGGCCATTGGAAATTAGATTATATCACTATGTCCTTATCTTCTTATAATGTCTCTTTAAAGTATATAGTTGTTGTGGCCCATCAGCTGCTAGCAGAGCTAGCAGCAGAGTCAGACGAGGAGGAGATCGAGGGGGAGCCAGGGCTGACTTCAGAGCCATTGGAAGGCTCTGATAAGTTAGCAGGATCAGAGGCAGATGCAGAGCCAGGGCCTTCCATCCTTCCTCAGGTAGAAAGGCAGCTAGCTTCAGGATCTGAGCTGAGTGAGGGGGAAGAACAAATGGGGCCCATCCCAGGTGTGTGTGTGTGCGTAGAGGAAAGGAGAGGAGAGCAGTGGAAAGCAATAAGCCAGCTCTCAGGGAAAAGAAGGCATAGATGCTAGCCAGCACCTCCTTGGCTGGGAAATAAATAGTAAGAGTTTGGGAGTGGCCGGTTGTTGCAGACAACCATTCATTTTCCAGGGTACATTAATCACGTCAGATTCCTTGCCAGAACCAGGTTTGTTGGGAATAATTGCTCTATATTTGAGGTGCCAACGGAATCTCCCTGCTGGGAAATAATAGGGAGTGAATTTGCCTCAGCTGATGTAAACAGGGACTGTTTCTGCTTGGCTAATCATTGAAAGGACTTTTTATCTTAAGTTCTCATGTGAACAGAGACTATTCTTGTCCTGTTTTAGAAGGGGAAAATATTTTGATTTGTGACTAATTACTTTTGGTTTTGTTGATCCAATGTGAACAAAGACTGTTCCTGCCCTGACTTAAATAAAAAAAGGGTTTGTGTTACTCATGAGTAAGCAGTTTCTCATTGCTTGTGAAGGCTAGGTCAGAACAATAGTATTAATAACAGGAGCTTTGATGAAATGTCATGTTACACCAATTTGTCTGATTAAGCTTTTTTCCAGACTGACTGAATTATTATGAATTGTTAAGAGAGCTGAAGCCAATAGACAGATTTTAATTCTGAGGAAGGCTAAATGTGGTCTTAACTATGATTTATTAACAGGACAGTATAGATTATAGGTTTGGTTTGATGTCCTAGACAATAGTCCACACAGTTTTGCCCTATGATAAACCATTTCATCTACTTAATGGTTACAGATATAAGAGTTTTAGTAATATATAGATTTAATGCTTCATCAATTTTTAATTTCAAAGAACTGAGAATTACATGAATTCTATATGACTAAAAAAAGTTCTGATTAATACTATGGAAGCTACTTTTCTGTATATGCAGTAAAAGTTGTTGACCAAATTCTATTGCCATAATTGATAGGTTATATTTATGAGATTATTTGGTAAGGACAAACTCTATGTAGTTTGGCCTGGGCAAGAAATGTAACCATTATAAATCAAAGCAAAGGTGATAAATTTTAATTTATAATCAGATGCCCCAGTTTCCCAAGACCATGTCATGGTGTTGGGAAACCCGTCAAAATTTGTTACCAAAATGGTTGAAGCGCAACATTATGACTTTTGGAGGGGAGAAGAGTAAAAGTTAAGAGAGATAATTTAATGTTTTGGGGGAGGGATTTTAAAGATGAGAACAAGAACAGTTTAGTTTTCTAGATGATTTCTACTGCTATTCATGCCTTAACTCCTTCCAAATCCACTCATGTGGAGTAGACTGAATTGATCGATATCAGAGCATATGATTCTGGAGTATATTGTTGATTCATAAAGAAAATAACTGAGTCTGATGAGAGTAATGGAAAACAGAAGTGCATAACACTTTCATGCATAGTTAATCTGTATACAGAAGAGTTTTTTTACTATTTCATAATGATGGAATTTTAGTTTATCCACTGAAAAAAATGCAGGAAAATTGTGGTCTGATAGTACAAAGTGTTTTTTTCACACAGCACATAAAACTGACAAGTTTGCTATCAAGATAATGGCAGCCAATTAAGGTACAACAGCTATCAAAGGGTTCTGAATGTGCCATGGAAGTTTAAACTATCCATGCCAAATAATATATTACTATCTCCTGAATCATGGAGGAACATGCTTTGCTGAGAAATAACAGGAAAGGGATTAATGTGCCTTGTGGGCTTCTCACATATTTCAGTGGGCTACTGTGTGATACATAATGCTAGACTAGAATGTTCTTTGGCATGGTTCAATTGGACTCTTTTTGTATTTTTATCTTATAATAGGTTTTTTTGTGGATCTGAAAATAAGTAATACAGTTATTGTCTTTGGGAACTGCTGAGGGTTTTTTTTCCTAGGTATTCTAATTACCTCCTCCCGGATATTGAAAGAAAAGGAAAATCTGTAAAATATTTTTTCTGACAGGACAGTGATGTCATTTGCCCAGATCATACAGCAAGATTCTAAGATTAGGTATTTAGAAAGTTTGACCTCTGAGATGTGTCCTGTTCTTTGGAAATAATATTTTCTTTATGGTTTCAAAGTTGAGAGTTTAGCTTTATTTCAGATATGTGGTAATTTTATCAATTTGATCCTTTTTGTAGTCAACAAAGGGACTATCAGTGAAGGGTATGAGAACATCCTCCTTATATTCATGGAATTTTAAGTAATAAAAATGTCTCCCTTTAAATAAAATAGCCATTTTTTAAAACATAGATTGAAGCAATAAATCAATTTTGTGCTTTGCAATGACTATTCAATCTGTTTTGATTTATATCTATAATCAGCACCTCAAAATAATCATTAGTGTCTTCTCTAATTTTTGCCATCAGGTTCAAATGCTTCTCACTGGTCATCTCTGATTTCTGCCAGAAGCTCAATACAATTTTCTGATTTTAGGACCTGGCATGGATAGTAAAAACATTAGTGGCTGTATTTAGCTGGATAATTGCAAATTGTTTTCAATCAGTGTACATGTTTTTACAGAAGTAAAAAGGGCTGACTCAAAAGTGCAAATCTAATATTATACATTTAGACCATAATTATATGTTCATGTACTTAGAAATAAACCTGATTGAATTTAATGTGAGATATATTTTATAAGATTCACTTAAAATCGCATTGCTTGGGAAGTAAAGACAAAACTCACAACACGCTTCAGAGTTTTACTGAGTGTTTATAGTCAGCATAGAGTTTATGATAATCTATCTCCCCAGATTATACTTTAGTGCTCCACAACAAAATGCTGAAGCATATTCAGTTATGGTCTGTGCCCTTGGTAAAGCAATTAGACATTTGCTTTATATTCACTCCTATTCAGTACTTTGCACTGTAAGAGGACTTCTTTCTTTTACCTAGAAACTCAATATCATTTAGTTATTTGCTTTTATACCTCAAAATGAATCTACATGTCATTATTCTAAAAATGTTTAATCCATTTATTTAATACAATCTGTAACACTGTATACCCTGTTTTCATTATGATTGTAGGATAACCTTCAAAAACACATTCTGGCACTGACTTTTCACGCTCTAATTATGAGTTTACCCAAATTCCAATCAGACCTGGTATTTCTCATAGTTACTTTGAGTACCCCTCTATGGAGGAAGAATAATTCTCATCAGCCAGCCATCACTAACCTGGAATTTCCATACTTAGGTTGTTGGCTTTTTTAGCATTCCATTATTTTCACTCCATCTGTATCAACTGCCTCATATCACCCTATTGTAAGTGTGGTTTATTCTACATAAAATTTTGTCAGTTAAAATATTAAATTAGCAATCACACTTTTCTTTTAAGCATTCTGTGCTGTATTCTGTTCAGTGTGGTGTCTTTAGTTCTGATTTTTCAATTTTGTCCCTCTCCTTTTCTTTGATGTTAGTCTGATCCAACCTCTTCTACCTCATCTGATGATTATCAATATGTTATGGAAGCTAAACTACAAGAAATGATCTCCATACGTAGGAAGGTAGTCCTACAGGACTTTACTTTCTATTGCTAAATAGAATCCATCTGATTTTGTTTTTATATTTTTAAGAACTCTTTTAATTTTTGTATTTATTTTATTGATAATCAACCATTGTGCAATTCAATGCTTAAAGAGCTTACAATTTTATGATGGCAGGTTTGGGTTCAAACCATGCAGTCTGCATGTTACATTTGGCTGATTTCATTGCTCATGAATAACTCCAATGTTTTGCTGGATGCTTGGATGTAACAGGCCTTTGTAGCTGACACATTTCAAGCAATGCTGTTCAGCTGCCTGTTTGAATAAAATTAAGTTTTGCAGTTAGTAGTAGCTTGCTTTATATTTCCTTTTTTGAAAATGACCATTTTGATTTAAAAAACTAATGTTTCACATCAAATTATATTATTTTTATAGGCAGAAGAAAGACATGGCAATATTGAAGAACGCATGCGGCACCTAGAGGCTCAGTTGGAAGAGAAGAATCAAGAACTTCAAAGGGTATAGATGTTTACATTATATTTGAGTTCAACTGTTTTTTCCATGTCACATAAGCCTGTAAAATTATAATAGCAGTCATTGTTATGGTTATTTTTCATGAATCTATAGCTTGGTGCAGTACAATATCAGGATATTGATGGAATAACATACTACAATCCAGTTTAAAATTATAGTAGAACTATAGACTCCACTCTGTGTATCAGCAGATGTTTTTGTCCCAATGATAAAAGCAGTTGACTCAGTTAAATGTTTCACACAGTTTCCAATTGAAACAGTCTATGTCAGAGCTGTCAAACTCATGCCCATGGACCAGATGCATCACACACTGGCCACGCCCATGGCCGCTTTAGTAAAGGGGGGAAAGGTTATGATACATCATGTGATGCCACCATGATAATGCGAGTTTCACACCCCTTGTCTATGTGAGCTACTGACAGTAAAAAGAAATTGAAAGAAAGATAGTGTCTTAAGAATGTTAGATAGAAATGGAAAGCAATACTGGATGATAACTGAAATACACAGAAGAAATAATTAAGTTGTTAAACAAAGGACCAACTTAGGTTTATTTTGAAGAAAATAAGACCAGTTGGTTCATTTAGCCAGCCACAATTATATGGAGTTTTGTGGAGGGATAGAATATGCTTCAAGATGCCCCTATTTAAAATATCACCATTGTTGTTGATCATAGGCATAATTCTTACGAAAGCCTGTAGATTACCAGCTATATGGATGAGCCCCAAATTGTAGATTCATTTATTTGTTCATCAAATTTATACAGTATGGCACCCATCTCATGCAAAAGTGTTTAGGGGCAGCATACAACAAAACTATAAAACAATTAATATATAAAACGATTATTATTAAAACAATATAAACAATTTAAACGCAATAAATTAAAGTATATAAATACACAGAACTAATAATAGCTTAATAAATTGTCTTTAGACATTGGTTACCTAAAATTTTACTGTATTTTCATGTGAACATGAAAAGGTGAGTTCCAAAGACACTTTTCAAACAGCAACTGGACTTTCTTTGCTTTTTCTTTGAAAACATTTAGCTTCTCATACAAGAAGCTTCTTCAGTTTAAGTACAATGTATGATTATTTGTGACCCTTCTAAATATTGATTTTAAATTACAGTGACCTTTTGAATATGAGTAACAAATGAAGACTGCATATCTCTATTAGAAGAAAAAATCAGAATGATTACTTCTTACAACTATATTTGAATATGTGACTAAATGTTTTGACTAATAAATTTTTTATTTATTTCTCTGTGCAGCTGCTCAATTTTATTCTCTCTCTGAAATAAATTTGTTTTTCTACAAACTATTTGATCATAGTATTAATATTACAACTTCAGTTCAAACGAATCAGTGTGAATATTTGACCAATATTTTGAATTTAATTAATGTTGAACCTGAGTGCTTTATTTCCTTTGAACTTTATTGAAAGGCAAGACAAAGAGAAAAAATGAATGAAGAGCACAACAAAAGATTGTCTGATACTGTGGACAGGCTTTTGACAGAATCTAATGAACGTTTGCAACTACATTTGAAAGAGAGAATGGCAGCATTGGAAGAGAAGGTAAACAAGCAAATAATGTGCACATTTCTTGCTTCATTTGTGTATATATTCATAGTTACTTTGCTTCTTCACCTGGAATGAAAGCATTAAAAAATATGAGGCACAATCCATGGCCTCAATAAGATTCATTGTTGTTACGTTTCTGCAATTCCTATTAATTTTCTTCATCCTTCAACTTCTCATATTGGCACATGGGACCACCACCAGAATTTAAAAAGTTTACAGCATGGTTTTAGTGGGACCTTGCCCATTTCTACTCTCTCTCGTTGTCACTACTTTCACTTCTAATAACCTTTGGCTAGAGCCCCAACCTTATGGTACAGTCATAGCAGTTTGCCACACCTACAAAAACTTAATACTTATATGAGAAATGCTTATCCATTGTACAGTGCTTCTTAGAATGTGAAACCCTCAACGTCTACATTCTGTAGTGTTAGTAGACAGGAGGAATGGATACCATTCCCTAGACGTGGATGGCTGGGGAATTCTGGCAGTCCACGCTTCTTAAAGTTGCCAAAGTGGAGAATCACTGTGGTAATGGAATCAGGAGGTACAATTATTCCTGTTTTCTAGTCAGAAATTCTCAGCCTTTTACAAATGTCCCTTCATACGTGCTCTGATTGAATGTAACTGACAATGCCTATAGGTCACAATTTCATATTTATATTAGTGGTAACATCTTTTAACATATTCAGTCTTGGATTGAATTAATGAAAGATTTTTAAAAAATTATATGTTAGAGGAAAAAATAATTTAAATATTATTGATATGTGTTTTATTTATACGTTAACAGATTGGGTAATAATTATTTCACTAGACCCTATTTTAGCTTTTATTTCCATCTCCTAGAATGTTTTACTACAAGAATCAGAAAACTTCAGAAAGAATTTGGAAGAATCTTTACATGATAAGGTATTCTAGATTAATTACAGCATTTATTAATAATGTTTTTTAAAAAATACAATCATAATTAATTCAAGATTGCAATTATATGCACATATATTTGAGAGTAAGACAGTTGTCTTTATACAAATATTCTACACTAATAGATTGATTCAACATCTGTCTAGGTAAAATTAATGACAACATTATGTTATTAGTTAATGTGCTCATCCAAACAAAATAAAGAATTGTCTTTTCTTCTATTGATACTTATCTGTACCATTTACTGTTCTTTTCAAGACAGGTTTCTTTTTCTGATAAAAGTTTAGATTAGATTTCTTTATTCAAGAAACTTTGGCTTGTACAGCCACCAACATTCCTAGTGTCAGCTCGTAAAGCTTTCCTATGCCTGTTTCTGAGTTGCCATAAGCAGGAGAGGGGAAAAAAAAACCTGAAGGAGCAGTACAGCAATTAAAAACAGAATACATTCCATGCTTATCATACAAAGATTGTAGCCTAGGCTACTGGATCTTCTGCCCACAATACCCAGCCCATGTATCCAACGTGCTTCATTGGAGAATCTGATTTATGTCACACCCAGGGGGGAGTGGAGAAACAGGGTCACAGGTCACTGTAAATTATGTGTGGTAGAATTGGCTTCATATGGGTCAATGCCAATGTGTTGCTCCTAATAAATCTTTTGGATTCTTTTGAAGCTTGGCTGAAGGCTCATGATTTAATTAGTGCAATTGCCAGAACCCTGATACCTAGCTTTGGTCATTACCTTTCCACTTTTATATAAAATCCCGTAGGTTTCAAGAGCAGAGGTTTTAAGGGTGAAGAGATTGGAATAGAAGTATTATTAGAGTTTCTATCCAACCTCATGAAAAGTACAAAACTGCTATGCATGTGTATGGTTAACAGACATAGTTCTACTATTTGTTCATTGTTGCATCTCTAAGCTACTTTTTCTCTAACATGGTCAAGGATTTTGTGGCAGTATACATTTTATTCCCCAGAACTGCTCCTTATGATGTAGAATGGGCCCAAAGGGAGTAATTGGCCCAAGGTTACGCAGTAGACTTCTTAGTTCAATTTGAATTTAACTAGGTCCCTGTGCAATTCTAGCATAATGTGTTCACCACCTGCTGTATCATTTATTTATTTTTTGGTCACAATACATTTTGAAAGTCAACACAGGTTGAGAATACTCTAAACCAGTTAAACCTGTAGGCATATTTTAATCAGGTGGTTTAAATGGTTCTTGCACACATATACTTTGCTAACAAATATCCTTCTCTAAAGATTTAATCTAATTCACCCTTCTGCTGTACTCTGCCTCACATAATTCCCAAGACAATATGCTAGATAGTGATTGTGGAAGTTAACAATATATCTGCAAGGTATTACAATGGGGAACTAGTTTTATCATTGCCACCTTCTGGGATTTTTACAGCTTCTCATGAAGATTAACATACTGCTGTGAGATTCCCTATGGTCTTCCATCCTAAATACTAACAAGATTTGAGTATGCTTAGCTTTCAAGCCCAGGCAAGATCATCCAAAGAAAGCTAGATAACTCATGTAGAGATTTCTAATATCTGGCTCAACTATTCAGAGATTATATTATATGACAATAAAATTTGATGAATAATTTTGAACTACCATGTATCTATATTAATCAATTATTATTATTTGTTTCAATTTTCAGGAAAGATTAGCAGAAGAGATAGATAAGCTGAGAGCTGAACTTGACCAGTTGAAAATACGAGCAGGTTCTTTAATTGAGCCCACATTGTCAAGGTAGCTACAAGAAAACAATGACATTTTCTTTAATAACATTATTTTGAAGTTTCAGTCATCATATATTTAAAACATTCTTCATCATCTATAACAGTGATTGCTGTTTACAGGATTGTGAAAGTTGAAATTTGCTATCACCAGATATGACAAAGACACTAATTTAAATGGCATTAAAAGAAAGATTACTTCTCTGTGGCTAGGGAATAGAAATATCATGACTATTATTTATTTAGTCATTATTTCCAAACTTGGTAGCAGATATCTTAAATATCAGCAGGTTGGAAGTCATATTAGAACAGAACTGTTCTAATATGGCTGTTTATATCCTTATGACACAAAAGCATTCATTCAATCATTCAATCAAATTTATATGGCTGCCCCTATCACCATATAATTTAATAGCTGTGGAAATAAAGAACTATCAACTAACTCAATAATAAAAATGAATCATAAGATTATAGAATCATAGGTTGGAAGGAATCTAAGTTTATTAGTTAGGTTGTTGTTTCTGGATTTATTTTTGGTTATTTTATTTTATTTTTCAGTTCTTGGAACATTTTAATAGGAAATGAATTAGATAATAAATGAATTTCACTTATTAATTACATGTGTATTCCTGTTTTTTTCATGGAATTCAAATATTATAAAGGTCATAGATCAGTAAAATCATTTCTGGTCTATTTGTTTTCAGATGAGATGTTTCATAAACTATCCAGTTTTATACTAATTTGTTACTAAACTTCATTAAGTACGTTCTTTTGATGATATTTCACCATTAAATATACATTTCTAAAATTGATTTCTTTTTAAATGCATAATTCTGAACACATATTGTTCTAGAATATTTTTTTTAATTGAGAGGTACAGTGCAAATTCATTGGTATTGAGTTGATTTTGGTCTTGTTGATTAAACTGTGTCATCTTTTGGAACTAAATAAATGACCCGCCTCTGTCACTGCATCAGTCATTTGAAATCTGAATGGCTGCCACCTTGTTAGAATTGGGCTGCCTAGATATTTGACAAAGAAACAAATACATCTTCATTTTAATCTTGGAAGTAAGAAAGCAACATTTTAGTTTATGTTGATATGACCCAATTTCTCATGGCTTATCTTTTAAGTCCCCCCTCCCCCTTCCCCCCACCCCCTCTCTCTCAAGTTGCTGGTGAATTAAGCTTTGAGTTTATATTTCCAGTATAATTATTCTGACAATAAAAACCATACTCCTACATATTGATTGGTCAAATGTATATTTTAGCTTTTCTTTTTTCATTAAAATGCAAACCTTGTAAGTTCCCTTCAGTATACAAGGAAGCATACTCTGTTTTTATTGCTGTGTTGGTAGCAAAGATATATGCTGTATGTGGTAAAAATAAATATATTTTACGTGAAATTTGAGGGTTTTTTAAAAATCTAATTCCTGTGCCACAAATGTTTTTCAGGACACATCTTGATTCATCAGCAGAACTGAGGTACTCTGTGAGCTCAATAGTTGATAGTCAACCAGATTATAGGTCTACTAAAGTGATAAGGAGACCTAGAAGAGGTCGTATGGGAATCCGAAGAGATGAGCCAAAGGTTTATATTTTAATCATTTTTCCTTTAATAAGATTGCAATTATAAGCATAGCTGATTTAAGACATTTTTCCAACTAAGGCCAGGACTGGAATTAACTTTCCATAGTCCTTGCATACTTCTATAGATAATAGCTTTAATTATATACATCATGTGGATTCTACAATAGGATAATAGATTTGTTTATTCATTCAGTTGGTAAGGCCACATTTCTTAAACATTGGCTCTGTTTTTGCAATTCATATATTTAAAATGTAGAAAAATATGTGTTTCTGCATGTGTATGTGCCCACACACACTTCTAATTTTTTAGTCATATTTGGGCCTAAAACCTTTTGAAAACCTCAAAAGCTTCATATACTTAGACACTGTGTTGTGCTCAGTGGATAATCTGGTCTGACTGAAATTATCTCTCTAATAACTCTTACTGGGTAAAGTATATAATATCTAAAGGCTATAAAACAATTTTGATATTTGAGAAAGAAGTGGGATTACATATTTTGAGCCTTAAAATTACATTAATAATACAAATCTTTTTTTAAGTTTTATTTGTTTTATTAGTATAATATATAAAATTAGATATATATATATATATATATGGCATTCAGCTCTGTTCGGGTATTTTCCCACGTCATTGTAGTTGTGCTTTTAAAGTTGTAGCGACGTTTCAGCAGAATCTCATCTACCATCATCAGGCTTCTGTATAGTGTTCATCTGTGAGTCAGGCTTTTATAGTGGTTTCAGATTTAAATTTGGGGCAGCCTATTGCTGTGCCAGAATGGTTTTTTTCTTCACCCTGATTGGTTGGGAGTCTTGGTCTGTGTTTATTGGTCTTGGAGTTTGCTGTGTTCTGCTTGATTGGTGTTTCTAATATCTCCTGTCTGTTTTTTGGCTCTTTTTGTCTCTTGATTGTCTGGCAACATTGTGTTGCTTTATTGGAGGCCTTTAGTGCAGCTTGGCTCCGGGTAAATGGATGGCTATCATTAGTTAGGAAGCTAGGTTTCATCTGGGTGCCTGGTTGGGGTGTGTTTGAGCTGGAGGTATCAGGGGGGATCTGTCTGTGCCCAGGTGTTTGCCTGGCTTGTGGTGTGGAGATTTTTTTGTTTGTGAGTGCAGGCTTCCAAATGATTGACAGTCTGGTGGAATCATCTCTTCTATTCATGCTTTCTGGTCTTTTTTCAATCTCTATGGCTTCTCCCGCGTAAGAAAGAAGAAACGACCTCTTCCCTGGTCCAACACCTCAAAGCCACAGGACATGAAATTGATTTTAAAAATACCAGAACTATCGCCAAAACCGAACACTTCAACAGCAGAATAATCAGAGAAGCCATAGAGATAGAAAAACGCCCACACAGCATGAACAAACGAGATGACACCTCCCGCCTTCCAGCCATTTGGAAACCCGCCCTCATGAACAGACGAGTACCTAACATGAAGAATGACACCAGACCCACACCCATGAGAGCCACACAAGATGCCACCACCACACTTCCATGTAGAAAACAGACTCACACCCACTCAGAAGATGAGACACGACCATGGACCAGAAGCTGCACTGCAGCTGCATTACTACCCACTTCAAACCCCTCCGAGCCATACGTGAAGCAAACCGACACCCACTATGAAGATGCAGCACGACCACGAACTCGAAGCCAAACAGCAAGATCACAGCTCACCAACTCAAATCCCCCAGCAACTAAGACTAACCTGAGCACAGCCAAGCCCCCACCTGAACAGAACACGCCTCCAACCAATCAGAACACGGCCAACCCCCCAACCAATCAGAACACAGCCAAACCCCCTACCAATGAGAACACACCCCCACCCAATCAGAACACAGCCAAGCCCCCACCCAATCAAGTCCCACCCCCACTAGCAGTTAAAAGGAAGAAGCAGCTGCAATCTCACATCACTCTGAGAAGCAAGAGCCGAAGACAGAAGCCTGAAGATGATGAATGAGACTTCATCGAAACGTTGCCTAGATACTTCGAATCTTACGCGGGAGAAAACCCGAACAACCAAAGATCCATATATATATATATATATATATATATGTATATATATAT